ATGTATCTATATAAGATAAGTATTAGAGATGGATTGGATAGCAGGAAAATCTTCTGCCTAGTAAGTCATGAATCGAAATCGTGTATCACGTTTGGCACTTGACTGACTGATCAGAGAACAGATACTACACTTTGATCCAAGTCCGATGACCAGAGAGTGATAAAAAAACATAACTCGAGTAACAATGGCTGCTCGGTCAATGAATACGAGATGTTTCTATATAAGATAAGTATTAGAGATGGATTGGATAGCAGGAAAATCTTCTGCCTCGTCAGTCATGAATCGAAAGCTTGTATCACGTTTGGCACTTGACTGAGTGATCAGAGAAGAGATACTAGACTTTGATCCAAGTCCGATTACCAGAGACTGATAAAAAAACATAACGAGTAGCAATGGCTGCTCGGTCAATGTATACGAAATGTATCTATATAAGATAAGTATTAGAGATGGATTGGATAGCAGGAAAATCTTCTGCCTAGTCAGTCATGAATCGAAAGCTTGTATCACGTTTGGCACTTGACTGAGTGATCAGAGAACAGATACTACACTTTGATCCAAGTCCGATGACCAGAGAGTGATAAAAAAACATAACTCGAGTAAGAATGGCTGCTCGGTCAATGAATACGAAATGTATCTATATAAGATATGTATTAGAGACGGATTGGATAGCAGGAAAATCTTCTGCCTAGTCAGTCATGAATCGAAAGCTTGTATCACGTTTGGCACTTGACTGAGTGATCAGAGAACAGATACTACACTTTGATCCAAGTCCGATGACCAGAGAGTGATAAAAGACATAACTCGAGTAACAATGGCTGTCGGTCAATGAATACGAAATGTATCTATATAAGATAAGTATTAGAGATGGATTGGATAGCAGGAAAATCTTCTGCCTAGTCAGTCATGAATCGAAAGCTTGTATCACGTTTGGCACTTGATTGACTGATCAGAGAACAGATACTACACTTTGATCCAAGTCCGATGACCAGAGAGTGATAAAAAAACATAACTCGAGTAGCAATGGCTGCTCGGTCAATGAATACGAAATGTATCTATATAAGATAAGTATTAGAGATGGATTGGATAGCAGGAAAATCTTCTGCCTAGTAAGTCATGAATCGAAAGCGTGTATCACGTTTGGCACTTGATTGACTGATCAGAGAAAAAATACTACACTTTGATCCAAGTCCGATGACCAGAGAGTGATAAAAATCATAACTCGAGTAACAATGGCTGCTCGGTCAATGAATACGAAATGTATCTATATAAGATAAGTATTAGAGATGGATTGGATAGAAGGAAAATCTTCTGCCTAGTCAGTCATGAATCGAAAGCTTGTATCACGTTTAGCACTTGACTGTGTGATCAGAGAAGAGATACTACACTTTGATCCAAGTCCGATGACCAGAGAGTGATAAAAAAACATAACTCGAGTAGCAATGGCTGCTTGGTCAATGCATACGAAATGTATTTACATAAGATAAGTATTAGAGACGGATTGGATAGCAAGAAAATCTTCTGCCTACTCAGTCATGAATGAAAATTGTATTTATCAAAAGGAATTGAATGTCCTGGGATCGCCAAAAATAAAACCCATCTAAACCGTGTATAGTTCCGTCAACCTCCTGAACGAAACGTATGGCACTTAACTGATTAATTAAAGATAAGGAGAACAGGTACTGCACTTTGATCCCGGTCCCGGATCTACCGCAGAAAGAAATGGCAGCCTACTGCGAAAAATGTGCCTAGTGAGTCCTGAATCAACGAGAAATGATCACATATGGCACTTTACTGGCTGAGTATTTTAAAAATGATTAAAAATTTTATAATTTTTTCATGAATTCAAATATTAAATGAATTCTCGAACCACTATTACAATACTCGGATAATACATCCTATTTACCTACTTTTTCAATCTGTATATAAAGTTTTTTTTTCTTTCAATGTTCACCCAATACAAAGCCCAAGAGCCACTCATGGTAGTGGGTTACTGTGTGGACAAGCAGAGAGAAAAAAAGTAACTGAATTAAAGGTCGAGAGAGGGAATATAAATAAAAGGAAGAAAGGAAAAAACAAAAAGAAGAAAGAAAAAAGAAAGAAAGAAAGCAAGAAGTAAGTAAGAAAGGGTATATGTAGGGAAGAAAAGACAGAAAAAGAAAGAAAGAGATGAAAATAGCCAAAACAAACATTTGAATTAGACAAAAAAAAAAAAAAAAGAAAGTAAAGTAGGAAAAATAAAAAAAAGAGTAAGAGAGAAAAATAAGTTTATTTTTTTTACTAATGTTCACCCAATACAAGGCCCAAGAGACACTTAAGATAGAGGGCTACTGTGTGGAGTTATCTTAATGTAGGAACGAAAAAGCGTTAGGTGTATATAGCTGAAGTAGGCTTTAGAAGGAACCGGAAATCCTATCCTAAACAGGAAACAAGCGATAAACCTCTATTCCTCTCTATTCAAAAAGACGGTCTATTTTAAGTATACATGTCCTGCTAGTTCACA